ATTCAGTCAAAGAGAAACAACCCCCCCCCCCCCCCCCCCCACACACACACACTTAAGCACGACATTGCCCTCAATACAGAAGAGGGAAGGATAAGGGGAACGACGTTACTGGGGAAATGGACTGCCGGGGGCAGGAAATGGGTCCAGTCATCAGGGGCAGACTGGAAGGTGGACCAGTGGAAAGGCACCGAGCTAGAGTCATCAAAACACACTAGGTGATAGAAACCATAGTTCCAAGTAGAAAAAACCAAAAAGATACAAAAGAAAAACAAACTGTGGTGGGGTTGCCTCCCCACAAGCGCTTCTTTTACGTCTTTAGCTGGATGCAGAGGTGGATGCTCAGAGCGGTGTAGGAACAGGTGCCTCCAAGATCGGATCCACATCGCTCTTGAGGTACAACTTCAGATGGTGGCCATGCACGCGACGGAGGTAACCACCAGCACTTGTCAACTTGACTTGGCCATCCGGCAGGATGCAAGCGAGTGAATACTCGGATGGCCAAGGCGGTCGTTGCAGGAGTCGGGACCAACTCATAGTGGTCCTTAGCTTTCTTTTGAGCAGGCTTAGCTACCTACCGCTTCGGCCGCCACTCCTCCCGAATCGGCTCTTTTGGTAACTAAGACAGTGGGGGTGGTGGAGGAGGAGGGGGTGCAAAGTCGAGATAACATTCATATTATTAGCAATGGAAAATGTTATCTGCTCCTCGCCATCTCTCAAAGTCAGGGTCCCATCATGCACATTTATGAGAGCCTTTGCGGTGGCTAGGAAAGGCCTACCTAGAATAAGGGGCACTTCTACGTCTTCATGGATGTCCAAGACAACAAAATCCACAGGATAAAAGAATCTGCCGACCTTAACCAGGAGGTCTTCCACTATTTCTCTAGGATGAACTACAGATTGGTCAGCTAATTGAATACTCATCCTAGTTGCACTGGGTTCACCTAGGCCTAGTTTCTTGAACATTGATACTAGCGCCTAAATCCACCAAAGACCTCTCTACATGCAAATTACCAATAGAGCGCGAGATAGTAAAACTACCTGGGTCCTTTCGCTTCTACGGGAGCTTGTTTTGCAAGATGGCCGAACACTCCTCGTTGAGCTCCACAGTGGCCAGCTCGCTTAGCTTCTGCTTTTTCGAGAGAAGATCCTTTAGGAACTTCGCATACTTAGGCATTTGAGATAGTGCCTCCAGGAAGGGCACTTGAATATTCAGCTTCCTAAGCATGGACATGAAGTTCTCGAACTCTGCCTCTAGCCGGTCTTTGTGAAACTGAGTAGGGAAGGGAAGTTTATGGACATACTCCTTCACCACTGGTTGCGGCTTAGGAGCAGGAACCTCAACCTCCTTCTCCATTTCTTCTTCAACAGCTAGAAATGCCGAAGCAGCTCTCCCGCTTGTCTGGCAAGGACAGGTGGGTCTGTAGTCACTTTGCCACTCCTTGTAGTAATAACATTATAGTGGGCATTCGGGTCCTTTGGATTAGGAATGGTATGACCCGACAAGGTACCCGGAGCCCTTTGTGCCACTACCTGAGCCACACTCCCCATATGGGTTTGGATATCCTGCAAAACAGCCTTTGTGTTCCTCTAGCCAGCTTCAAGAGCCTGGAATTTACTCGAGACCTTTTCCATGAACTGCTCGATATTGTTGAATTTGTGAGCACTGGAACTGGCAAGAGAACCCACCAAGTCCCCGCAGTTCAGCTATCGGATCATTCTGCACTGGGGTTGCAGGAACTGCATCTGGCTACGGGAAAGGTCGCGGCTGCGGTTGAGCAGAGTGCCCCGGTCTGAGCTGGTGGAGAGACTGCTGCTGGAATTGCCCCTACCTGGGCTAATATGGCTGTCTGTGGAAGCTTGGAGGTCCTAAGAGACTGGTGGCTTAAGATGATTTCCACTCTAGGGGGTCGTTTGGATTAGGGAATGTGTAAATGAGGGATTTGGATTAAAATCTCTCAATTAAAAACCCACGTATTTTAAACGTGGGATTTGATCCAAATAACATGTTTGGGAATAGATGAAGGATTTTAATTAAAAATTAAAGTTACAATTATACCCATCCCTAATCCCTAAGGAAGAATAAGAAAGGAAGAACAAAAGGAGGGGCAGAGTTTGGAAAAGAATGAGAAAAAATGAGTGATTGTGAAATAGCTGATCCCCATCAGCTATTTTAAAAACTCTCATATGAGAGATTTAGAATTTCCTCATGCCCACAATCTCTCACCTTTCCAAACGCAGAATTGTTTTAAAATCCTGCATAACGAGAGATTGTTTTAAAATCACTCATAAATCCCTCATCACATTCACTAATCCAAACGACCCCTAGGAGAAGTTGGGATGCTGACGTCACCTCTCGTTGTATGTGTTGCTTTAGGGGAGTAGTACATTACCTCACCGCCTGACAGTCTTCGACGGTGTGATGGGAGCTCTCACACCACTAGCAACACATTGCATGTTGCTGTCCTGTCCTAGAAATCATCCCAGTCCGATCAATAGCCGATACCATCTTAGACACAACCTACACCAAATCATATGATTTGGTGTCCATAGCATGTACACCACGGCCATGTACTCGCCTCGACCTCCTAGTTGTACACCAATCATATCCTTGCCCCGCCTTTTCCTCAAAGAGCTGATTTAACTGCGGTGGCATCTTAGTCAGCATGTTCCCGCCACAAACTGAGTCAATCAGCTGCTTGTCTTTGGGGAAGAGGGCGTGGTAGAAGGTGCCCACATTGAAGGCGTCATTGAAACCATGATTGGGACACTTCAGAAAGAAACTGGTGTATCTCTCCCAAGCATCCCCAATGGTTTCATCCTCCTACTGTGCAAAATGGGTGATCTGCTTCTATAGGTCTGCCGTCTTTGATGAATGATGATAGCGGGTAAGGAACTTGTCCACTAGGTTGGTGAACGTAGTGATCAATCTCGGAGGCAGAGTGTCCAGCCACTCCTTGGCTTGCCCCTCCAGAGTGAATGGGAAGTATCTCATCTGAATGGAATCGGCAGGGACCCCATTTATCTTGATCCCATCAATCAGCTCATGGAATCGTCGAAGGTGCGATCTGGTACACTCCCCCTCCTTTCCACGGAATACCACCGAGCCATGCAGCATGGTGATGACAGAGGTACTCATCTCAAATTTGTTGGCAGCAACTCGAGGGTGTTGGATGGAGCACCTCATGTCTGCGGCTCGGGCGGTCCAGTAATAGCCCATGGTATGCTCCTCGTGAATAACCACATCAATGTTCTGTGGTTCACCCATTTCTTCCTCCTCGTTGATGTGCAGTTGCTCCAAAGCTTCCACCACAGACAGTCGTGCCTTCAAAGTTCACTTGAGGTTACGATAGGTTCGTTCAATCTCCTGGTCCAATGGCAGTAGATCTCTCGACTGGCTACGGGTCATGCACTGCCTGCACGCAATCAGCAAAAGCAACCCATGAAGGCACACAGGTGGAAGAGAGAAAATGCACTAAATAAAATGCTAAAGTAACATACTTTCACGTTTCTACAATAAGCTAGAGTTCCCCGACAATGGCGCCAAAAAACTTGACACGATATGACACAACACCAAACTACGACCAAGTAAAATCGCAGTCCGGAAAAGCAGAATAGTGGTAAGTTTAATTTATCAACCCGGGGTCTAGATCTACTGCGTACTCCGTGATTATCTATTATCTAGCAGGACTAAGTGAGTGAAGTTGAATTCAGAGTAAAGCAGAAAGAAAGTAGTAAATTGTCTGGTTTCCTGAAGCAAGAGAAGAGTCACTCGGGAATGAGTCTCCCTAGCTCCTTAGTTAGGTCCAAGTTGTAATTTCCTTAGGTTGATTTACTGTTGATTAAACTGCGGAAGATCCGACAGTAGCTTGGAATCTCTTAAGCTGACCCAGCCCTCTTAGATAGACTAACCGGCAGATGACTAGTGACTAGTCTTTACTGGGATAGAAAGCTAAGGCAGTTAACACAGAACTCCACTACTGGAATTCCAGTACAAAGCAATGGATTGACTAACTCTCGTATAATTAATCCACTCCTATCAATTGAAGAAGCTCTAAAAACCTAATCAGATTCTATCTATCTCAGGTAGGGCTGCAAACGAGTCGAGTCGAGTTTTTGCTTAGCTTGAGCTCGGCTCGTTTATAAATTTTTTAGCTCGAGCTCGGCTCGAACTCGAATTTTCGTTATCCAGCTCGAGCTCGAGCTCGGCTCGATTAAAAATAATCCAGCTTGAGCTCGGCTCGATAAAGCTCGGTAAATGCTCATTAACACAGCTTGTCAAGCTGAGTACAAGCTCGGCTCAAGATAAGCTCGATTTGAAACCATTATTGCTGAAAAATGTGTACAATTGTACAAATAAGAACATTAGAAATTAAAAAATGATAAAAAGAACACTAAAAACTAAAATAACATATAATTTTCATACACATCCTTATTAACAACATAATTTTCATGTTCAGAAGAGTAATTAATCCTTCCACAAGCTTCAAACAAGCCAGCTCGCGAGCTTAGCTCAACAAGCCACCGAGTCAAGCTAGCTCACGAGCTTATCAAGTCGAGCATGGCCTAGCTCAAGCTTGGCTCGTTTACTAACGAGCCAGCTCGCGAGCCGGCTTGTTAAACAATGAGTCGAGTGTCAAACGAGTTTTTTTCGATCCGAACGCCGAGTTGCTCGCGAGCGGCTTGGCTCATTTGCAACCCTAATCTCAGGTTGCAGCAGAAATCAAGAGAATTTGATCAGGATTCAATTGACTCAATAAACACACTTCAATCGATTGTAATCAAACAGTATATCAATCCAAAAGTCATTACAACTCAAATCCCTAACACATGGAATTAGGGTTCTTCATACCCAAGTGAGAGAAAGGTCTACTCCATAGAGAGAGGGGAAAATAGAATTCAAAGCAGTCATACTCATAAAGATGGGAATAATCTGCTCTAGGATGTCGATCTTCACTCCTGACGATGCAATATGGGCTTCAAAGGTGAGAAATCCACTCCAAATTAGCTCATATGGTTTGTTCTTCGCACTTTCTCTCTCTAGAATTCTGTTTTTGCTCAAAAAGTCGTATATCTTTCACCAAAACCCGAAATTGGGTTAAGAAGCAGCTGCCCGCGATTGCACGGCCAGACCGCACAACCGTGCAGCCTCCTAGTCTGCCCGTGCATCCCAAAACGCGTCGTTTCAATTAATTCCGCCAGGGGAGTGCAGAGCCATTGCACGGCCCGTGCAATCTGAGAGCCTGGCCGTGCAGCTCTCTCGCAGAAATCATCACGGCCACCAATTTATTTCGCACTGCCGAGCGCGAAACAGGTTCAGGCCGTGCAGCTTCTCGGTAAATCCCACACGGCCAAAAAGGCAACCATGCACGGTCGTGCGCTTTCCCGTCCTGGCCGTGCAACTTGTCTGATCTCCCTCGCTCGTCCCGATTTCGCCCAATCGACCCCATACTCGTGCTCAAACCTTCATTCAGGCATTAGGACCTGAAATGTCATAAACAAGAACAACTTAGCGTAAAATCAGTTAAAAACCCTAGATCCGAGCCTTAAATAGTACAAGAATGGCGGACAAAAACATGTGTAAATATTGAGCCAGCAATATCCGAGATATATATGTATCAACCAAATGAGTTTGATAATTTTCATTTATTAAAGACGCCATATTTATTTTTTCTCTAATGCTACTCATTTTCTCATTTATTTTTTAACATCATTATTTTTTTCTCTAACTTCCATGGACACTTAAAAAAAATTGAATTTACATTTTTTCAATCAATCTCTTTTATTTTTCTTTCTATTTTTGGAAAAGAATTCATTACTTTTATACGGTCTGCATGAAGATAGAAACATTTGATTAGATTCGTATGCATAACCTAAAAAGTAAGTCATCTCAATAATCAAGTTTCCTTATACAATGGGATACATGTAAAAAAAGTTGTCGGACTAGCTTGACAACCAATCAGAGATCTCAACCAAACCTAGTCAAAATACAAATTCAAGCCAGTCAAAATACATAATTCATCATCATTGGAAGAACTGGAAGAAGACACGAATTGTTGAATATGCATCAGAAGGAGACGTCCCCTGAGCGCATCATATATTGAATACAACCATGATTGGAGAATCTCGTTATCTGGGTGTCATACGTGAAGATCTACATCGAGCTTTAAGCAGTTGCGGCCGAGGATTGTGATGAAGGAGGCGAATGTGGACGTCGGCAAGAATTTCGTGTGAGGGTTGGAGGAAGTGTTTGGAGTGGTTTAGGATTTATTTTGAGTGTTTGGATGAGAACTTTCCGGCAGCGATTAATGAGCGTTTGATTCTGGAGAGAGGGGTTGGGAGGGTGAATTTGGATCTAATGGTGTGTACGGCGGCGAAGTCGATGAAGAGGAGAGAGACGGCGGAATATCGACAAGGTTGAAAGGATAGAGACGTGTAAATGATCGATTGGAGAGGGGAGGAATGGTAATGACAGGACGGCGAGAGAATGGGGAGATGAAGAAGATAAGGAAGGGTTTTGAGGAATGTTCGTATATTGTTCCTTTTTAATTACTAATGGACGTGGACGCCATCTCTAATTTCGATGCTGAGCCACAGACAAAAAATATATGACCGTTAATTTTGACGGTCAATTCAAAACACGCGGCAATCTGTCAATTTCTTTAAAAAATTGGCCATAACTGTATTATTTGAAAATTCAGGTCAAATTTGTCATTTGCATGAAACTTCGTGTAGTAGGACATTATTCCTATATTATATATGCAAAATCCATTTGATGATAATGATTCCAATCAATACCATTAAAATCACGTTTAAAAGCTTACGCTTTTACTCCTTTATGTCACCAAAACGTTTCTACGTAGAATCACAATTTTCATTTACAACTGTTAAAATCTATATTTTAAAACTTAATAACTTATTACTTTATACTTTTACATAATCAAAACACTTTTAACTAGAATCACAAAAGCGACATTGATTCCCCTTATACATCGATATGTGAAACATGCGCAAGAGTAGGCGAAATTGCAAATTTGGTCACTTGAATTACTAGTAAAGTTCACGTTAGCCACTAGAATTACTTTATTTCATCCGTAGTCACTTAAATTAGTTCAACCGTTCAAGTTTGGTCACTCTCTGTTAGTCTCCGTTAACTTTGGCTAATGTGGCAGTCAACTCTGATAGTTGACCGTTAACTAATTGACGTCTCAATTAAAAAATAAAAAATAATCTTTTAAAAATTCGACCTCATCATCACAAATAATAAAAATAATTAAAATGAAATAACAAAATTTGAAAAAACAAAATTTATTCCCCGACCAGCTCTAGAGTCTCGCAGGCAGTGGGACGTTGCCGAAGTAGCAAATCCTCCGGGATCTTGTTCGCCTGCTCCTGCCACACCCTCCTGGACCCAATCTTCCTCTCTGCCGCCCTCGGCCGCTCCAGCCCTGTCATCGTCTACTCTGTATCCCGCCTCTCCGAGTTCTTCTCCCCCATGCGAACCGTGCGCCACAATCGCGACGCCGACGCCGCCATGACCAGGAAGCTCGTTGAGGAGGCCAGATCTGGGTCGTTGGAGGATAGGAGGAAATCGGGAAAAAGGGCAGGGCCCTTCGTCGTCTCCCCCAATTTTCTGGTCATATCGACGTCTACTGAACGAAGGTCCCTTATTTTCTGGTCATATCTGGCGACCGAAATTCGCAGTAGCACCCACTTTTCCGCTCCCAGTTTCAGTGGGGGTTCTCGATTTCTCCTCCCAATCCCCCGCCAAAAACCCTGTTGAACGGGCATTGATTTCAGGTGTTGCAGAGGGATTAAAACGATGGGTGCAGAGGACAAAAGATCGTGTGTAGCGGGTGGTTCCTTCCCGTGGATCTATGGGCGTTGAAAATTTATTCACAAAGCATCGCCACTAAGCTCATTCGAGTATGTTGAGAAATGAATTGGATGAAGGAACAAGATTTGATTTTTTGTTTGGGTAGGGTGCTTAGGGCTCGTTTGCTAATGGGATTTGGATGTTGTATTTGGTCTCCAAATACAAACCATCATGTTTTTTGTCCAAACCCATTGTTTGTTAAGGTAGGAAAATCCGTGGGGTCCACGGATTTGGACACTTTTTTAGTTCCAAATCCGTGACCCCCACGTTTTTGTAAATACCACATTTCATTTGGTATTGGCAAATACCACATTATGAAAGGCAAAAATTTTAGAACCAAATACCAAATAAACTAAATCCATGATAAAAATTCAACTAAACAAACAATGTTATCTTTCAAATACAAAATGAAACAAATCCATCATAAATTCAAAGTTTTCGAAACTCAAAACCTTCATTTTCAAATCCAACATGCAAACGATGGGTTATGACTTTTTTTTTTCTCTTTTGTTCCTTCATGGTTTCCAACGATGGATGATTGTTGCAGTTCCAGCAGGAATTTATGGTAATCTTTTGGGTTTGCAAAGAAAAGAAGTAAATGGAAAATACAAAATACAAAATTTATTTAAAATTTATAATAATTAGATGGAAAATAAAAATAATCATTTTTATTATTTTTTTAATTGCCACGTTACTCACTTAACGGTCAACAATTAGAATTGACCGCTACATCAACAAAAGTTAGTGGAAACTAACGATCAGTGACTAAATTTAAACTGTTAACCTAACTTAAGCGACTACAAATGAAATAAATTAATTTTAATGACAAACTTGGAATTTAGCCAGCAAAAGTATAAACATGTTCCGCCTTCATCACAAGATTACAACAGCGTACACAAATCCTCGTCGCACGCCAGCGAATCCCAAAACGTCGAACGAACACCAGGGATATGATCGTCATTCCAGCCTCACCTTTTCTTTTGCTTCTCAGTCGTCTAATCTACAATCCATCCTTTCCTTTCGTTTGTCCTCTCCTCTCTCACAGCTAGGGTTGAGCCGAGTCGAGTCTAGTTTTACCCCAGCTTGAGCTCGGCTCGTTAATAAACGAGTCGAGTCGAGCTAGCTTGTTTATTAAAATCTTAACTTTTATTTGGTACTTCATTTTGTATATCATGATACATATGATTTATTTTGTTAGTTAATCTCATCTTATACTTTATACTTTGTTGGTATCATATATTGTTTAGTTAATAAATTTTAACTTTTAACTACTCTAAATCATGTTATTTCATTGTATCGAAGCAATCTATTATGCATAATTTCTTTTTAAAGTAGAAAATAAGATATATTTGCTCACATACTCAACGTGCAAAACTTTATATATGGTGAGATATATAAATTAACAACCATATGAATTAAAATCATAAGATATAGATTGATTCGTCCATAAGTTGGTAATCGAGTTGGCTCTCTAGCCACATGTTAAGACATATCATGAGCTCTAAATGAGCCAGCTCACGAGTTTAGCTCAACAAGCCACCGAGTCGAGGTAGCTTGCGAGTTTCACAAACTGAACAAAGATGAGCTCATGTTCGGCTCATTTATTAACGAGCCGAGTTTCGAACGAAATTTTCTCGAGTCAAACGCAGAGCCAGCTCGGCTCATTTGCCGCCCTACCCACAGCTACAGCCTACAAGCAACAATCCCCAATTCAATATTCTTTGACAAGAAATCTCAGGGCATTCCTTACCTCATGGCGACTCTCTCCGCTTACTCCTCTCCCGCCGCCTGGCCCAACGAGAATCCTAATCCAGCAGTCCTCCTTCAGCAGAGCGCCACCGGGGAAGAACAGCAGCTCGATAATCCCCAGTCTTACGATTCCCTTTCTTCAATTATGCCCCAGGAAAATCACCAACTACCTCCACTCGCTCAGTCGCCTTCGAACCCTAGCCCCCTCACCAATTACAGCAGTCCAATTTCTTCACCGCCGGAATCCTCGTCCCCACTGCCGTCCGTTGCCCTCCTACATCTCTCCTTCAACCAGGACTCCGGATGCTTCGCCGCGGGTACCGACCACGGGTTCCGGATCTACAACTGCGACCCCTTCCGGGAGATATTCCGCCGTGACTTCGATCACCGTGGCGGGGGAATCGGAGCGGTGGAGATGCTTTTCCGTTGTAATATTCTAGCTCTCGTTGGTGGTGGGGCCGACCCGCAGTACCCACCCAATAAGGTTATGATCTGGGATGATCATCAGAGCCGTTGCATTGGCGAGCTCTCCTTTAGGTCCGAGGTTCGATCTGTGAAGCTTCGGCGGGATAGGATCATCGTCGTTTTGGAGCAGAAGATTTTTGTGTATAATTTTTCGGATTTGAAGTTGTTGCATCAGATTGAGACGATCGCCAACCCTAAAGGGCTTTGTGCGGTGTCACATGGGGCGGGTTCGCTTGTCTTGGTCTGCCCGGGCTTGCAGAAGGGTCAAGTTCGGGTTGAGCATTATGCCTCAAAGCGGACAAAGTTCATTATGGCGCACGACTCCAGGATTGCTTGTTTTGCTATCACGCAGGATGGCCAGTTGCTTGCTACTAGTAGCACTAAGGGTACCCTCGTAAGGATTTTCAGTACAACGGACGGCAGTCTTCTTCAAGAGGTATTTTCATGTTTAATACATGGTTCCCTTACTAGATGATTGTATGAGCGACTGGATTGGTGAATTGCAGTGTGATTATATGGCTACTAAGTGAGTATGAGATTCTTAGTAAATGTTGTGTGGTGATACGGCTGCTAATTGAGTATATGATTCTTAAGTTTCCTTTCGTGGCAATTTGTGTGTGATATACGCTTGTGTTGAGGTTATTTTAAGAACCATGATTGTCTTCTTAGCTATGGCAAGAAAGCTCCTGTCAGAAAACCATAGCTTTGTAAGATTATACTGAAGTGCATGTTTCGCTGAACTGCTAGGTGTCCAGTAAATGACTGCAAGGTAAATGGGGTAAAAATTCGAACTTTGTACCTGGCCTTCCTCCCTCCCTCCCACCCTCACCAACCAATTATTCTGGGTTTCGTTGTGCTTTCTTGCTTCTGAAATTCATAAGCTAGATTGTTGTGTGCATCAGTTAGAGTGACTAAATAAAACTTGAGCTTTTGTTTGGATTCTCCTTTCGGGTTTCATTTCGTCATTGCTTTACTCCCACATTCTCTGCTGTGGGGTTATTGAATTTGTTTCAACCTTGCTGTGTTTAGGCTACTGTGAGTACTGTCACGTCTCACTTGCTGCAGATATATCTTCGTTTATTACTTGAGGAGTCATTTCTCCCCTCAATTCTCTTGTTGGTTAGTTTAGTTGATGGTGAGTCATTTTCGTGTTCACGGTGGAAATTGAAGCCTACTCAAAACAATGCCTGTTAATCCTCTAATGTAGTACAATTTTACTGTATTGCTGAAAGATCCAACACCCTGAGGGATTTTAAAGCTCGAATCAATGTGGATTTGCAAGTGCTCTTTGAATCAACCCATTTTTGTACTCATTTTTGGTATACTAAGTGGATTATATTTGGAATATACATGACTGAACTATCCCGGGTATCTATAATCAGTTTCTCTTTCAGATGGTCACATTTTTCTACTATATTTTCCTTGTATGCTTAGCAAAGCTGTGTTCTTCATGTTGGATGCAGGAAACATACTCTAGATGAGTTTATGCTAAGTTTGATCAAGTATTGAATCTAATTTCTCATTCTTAGACTGGAATTCTAGAGTATTGTTTTATATTTACCATTCTACGCCCTGAATTCTTTCGATGGATTTATTGAACCTTGTTTTTCAATGTATGGATTATAATCTGTGAAGATGTGGAGGGGGAGCTTAAGGTGTTGGGGGGTGTTTATTCATCTATTAAATTAATATTCATCTCTCTAAATTCACTTTGTACTTTTCCTCAAACTCTGAGTGGAAATAAACACACCTGTTAGCTTAGTTTGGAAATGCTTAGCTTGATTTGCTTGAGATGAAAGTACCCGGATGCCCATATCTATACTAATGTCCTTGGTCGGCTCTATGCATTCTGATCGGTTAGTTACTTTGGGAGCTCTATATGCCATTACATAATCTTGTCCTCGTTTTAGCATTGCACTTCAGAACTGAGTCAATGTCTGAACGTAGGTGAGGAGGGGTGCAGACAGAGCAGAGATATACAGCTTATCATTCTCTTCTACTGCACAATGGCTAGCCGTTTCTAGTGATAAAGGAACAGTGCACGTTTTCAGCCTTAAGTTGAATCCTGAGGCAAAAATGAACGACATTTCACGAACCACAACTGATTCAAATCATGCTGCTGGCTCACCTGGTTCATCCTTGTCCTTCTTGAAAGGTATTCCCTCCCTGGCACTGGATTTTCCCCCTGCGTAGTCTCTTTGAATATATGGTACCCTTGATCTCTCTGAGCTGCCCTTACAGAATATGAGAACCCATGAGTCTACCTATCTTCCGCAGTAATATAATAGTTGAGATATGTTTTGACGGCATATTAATCTCATAAAAGCTTCCGCATGCAGGTGTTTTACCAAAGTATTTCAGCTCAGAGTGGTCGGTTGCTCAGTTTAGGTTACTGGAAGGCTCGCAGTACGTTGTTGCCTTTGGTCACCAGAAGAACACGGTGGTCATTCTCGGGTTCGATGGAAGGTATCTTTGATTCCGGAGTGAATGGGGTTTCTGTTGCTCCTGTGATAAATTTTATTGCGTCAAGTAATATGGACAGAACCGTGGGCTAATTGAACGTGTTTTGTTTCTGGGATGGCTCACTGCAGCTTCTATAGGTGTCAGTTCGACCCTGTGAACGGTGGAGAGATGACACAGCTAGAACATCACAACTTTCTGAAGCCAGATGGTAGCTCCTGAAGGAGGGAAAGTTTCAGGCTTGTATTTGTTGCTGGATGTCTATATAGTATATATTCTTCCTATTTTTTTCTTTTTCACGTTGTTACCGCGTTGTGTTCGCTGGGCAGATGGGTACATGTTGTACATATGTAAATGTATCATGTAAGTTATGTTGGAGTCTAAAAGGAAAGTAACAGGGAAGGAATGAGCTAAATTAGCGTCCTGTTCGGTGTTATTGGGGGTGAATTACCCAAAATTCGGTGGGGATATTAGTTAACTTTTGTGAAAAAATCACATTTGTGTCCGTGGCTTGAAAAAATTAATATCTATCAAATTTGGTCACTCGAATTACTAAAATAGGTCATATTTACCAGTGTCCATGAAACCGTACCGACGGTTCAATCACAAAATATCAGTATCGAAAGCTAAACTGGTAGGCGATATTTAACGGTTAAATTACGTTTAAACCACGGTTTTACCATAAAATCACCTAATACTAACTTTTCCCGTACTGTCTCTGGTACGATTTCATGGACCATGATATTTAGTCACTCTTTGTTAGTGTCCGTCCAACTCCATTAATGAAATCCATTATGTGCTGACGTGGTTAACGGGAGTGCCTAGTCAACACCGTTTTTAGCTCCGTGGGGCACTGCTGCTTCAGATCCGTGATACCATGGTGGTGCACGAACCCTACCCGCCGCTGCCTTCGACTACCATTGGGAGGTTGTACCCATCGACGAGGCTGACGTCGTAAAAGTCCTGACCGCTAGGGGTGGCTATACGGTCCGGTCCGGTAAAATTCGACCAAATTGATCCGGTCCCAGTCCGGTCTTCTCGGGAATATAAGGACCAAAGATTGGATTGGATACACTCCGGTCTTGATCCGGTCCGGTCCCAATTTGATTTTAGATTGAGCTTGTGGGGATTTGAGTGTTGGGGTCTCTTATCCGGTCTTTATCCGGGTTTTTTTACCTCAAATCTAAACCCGAATATGATATTGGATTGTTTGCTATCCGGTCCTAGTCTGGTCGGGGTTATACGGTCCGATTTCGGGTAAAACCAAACAGTCATGGACCGAATTGCCAGCCCTACTGACCGCCGGTTCGAAGGGTGAACTCGGCTAGCGTGGCCGGCAGGTCGGCACCGAGACCGTTGCACTCGACGAGACCCGACCCGCAGTCACCGTGTGCGACAGGGGGAAACTGACACCGGTGCTATGGGGGGATTGATTTAGGGTTTCGTCAACTGCTGCAATGAGGGAATGTGACGCCGACGCGCGACGAAGAAGAAGATGTACAGAAGGAGGATTTGAGGGTTTCGCTGTCTGCTAGAAACTAATCCCACGATTTTCCAATTTTGTTTTGATAAGTGGGTTAGGTTTAGTTCTCGGTCGGGTTGGGTTGGGTGTATTACATGGTGGGTTTAGTGACGTGGCGGGTCGGGTTTGACCATTTTCGGCCCAAAACGGTGCTGAGTAGGCACTCCCGTTAGCCACGTCAGCACATAATGGACTTCGTTAACGGAGTTGGACGGACACTTACGGAGAGTGACTAAATATGACCTATGTTGGTAATTCGAGTGACCAAATTTGATATTATTTTTTTCTAGTGACTAAACATGACATAATTTAGTAATCACAGTGACCAAATGTGTCATTAACCCATTCAATTAGTTTATAATTTTAATATTGTCTTCGCATTGATGCTTACTTTTGAAAAAAGTTTGAGCTTCCCCAAGTTTACAGGTTAGGGTTGTACTCATAGTTTCTCTCAATAGGTTTAGCCTATCATATGCAAATTTATCTTGTAAGTTGGGGCTAAAAGGAAAGTAACAGGGAAGCAATGAGCGAAATTAGCGTAATGTTCGGTGTTATTGGGGTGAATTACGCAAATTCCGGGAGGGGGGGGGGGATTAGGGGATTTTCCAATAATAGCACCTTTAAAAAAAATTACAAAACTAGCACCCATCCGAAAAAATTGACAGAAATAGCACCAATTTTATTGGAACGCACCTTAGGGGTGCGTTCCCAGCCACGTCAGCACACGAAACGCACTAGGAAGGTGCGGTTTACATATTCTGCAGAACGGTCTTCAAGACCGTTGGATGGAGAAGCGATCGGAGGGCGGAACGCGCGACAGCGGAGCGATCCGCGCCACGGATCGGGGAACGCAGCCTCGAGGTGCGGTCAAGCTTGGGGAAGACCCAACCGCCTCGGTAAGGCGCGGTTTTGGTTTGGGCAAAATTACCCGACCGCCCCTAGAGGGTGCGGTTTGTTGGGTATAAATACCCCCCCTTCCCAACTCATTTCTTCACACCACAACCCATTCTTCCTTCTCTCTCTAGAATTTATCTCTTTAAACCCTCCCCTCCCAAAAGCCTAGGAAATAGTGGTCTGTTGGTTGCGGCTAAGTCCGATCTGCTATCAGAAAACATTTCTTAGGTTTTTTCCTCAAAACCTGCCGAGCCGAAACTCTGTCCGAATTTTGGTTTTTTCCTCAAAACCCGCCGAGCCGAATCCCTGTCCAAATTTCCCGAAAAAATGGCCGATTGGTGGCAAGGAGAGGGAGTTTATGTTGATGAATTTCAAGCGGTACGTACTCATTATTCTGGTTTAATTTTTATTGTTGTTATAAGCTTTTTAATTAATCTATGTACTAACCTCGTTGTTATTTTCTCATAGGTTGGGGAGGACGTGGATATATACAACCAACGGTATTATCTCGAGCAAGGACCGTTGGATCCAACCGACTTGTACGACCAACCCAACCATCGGTCAAGGGATGTTTGGAACGCTCACCCGGTACATACAATTCTTTACCATTTGTCCCTCTTTTATTTTGTTAATGTATTTAGTGGAATATAAAATAAATTTATGTTGAATTTTTAATCGTGTTGGTTGTTTTCAATAATTTAATCGAATACATAGCGCCACTTACTTCGACTCTTTATAAAGAGATGCACGTCTAAGGAAATGGGGTTTTAAGCGATTATCATATCTTTCCATTCCCTGGGAAAATCGGATATTAAGAGATCCTCGGATCCCCCCTTTTTCTGTCAAAAAGACTGCGTTTCTAAGAAGATGCATACCTCTTCTAAGAGTCTAACGAGTGTTGCTTTGTATTCGATTAAATTATTTAAAACAACCAATACGATTAAATTATTTACCAAACAACCAATACGATTTATTTTGATGTGTACAAAATGACTTTTATTAATTTCAAACATTTGAATATGTATGTTTCTCTTTAAATTAGATGCTTGATAGCCGCAGCAACCACCCTGGATTTCAACTGTCGATGGCCTTGGGAAGTTATGGATGACACACATGTGTGTGTGTTCACCGCACGGGATATGACCCAGTGGCCGTGTCTCTTGCTGTTGATGGCCCGAATCCTAACATTGCACCCCTCGTGATGATTACGACATCTGACTATGAGCCTTTTAGTGTTGGAATAAGTTGTGTGCCATATAAAATGCCGAGTCATTGCTTCTGTCTCAATGGCGTGCCGCACCTCCTTCTTCGAGCCAAATTGTTGGCTCTTCATAAACCCAGTGAGTGGACCCCATATTGGGACCTCTGGCGGCTCTATGTCGCTGTCGACCATCCAATTGTCGTCTGTAATGTGATTGTAGTAGGGGACTGGTACACGGTCACGAGCCACCTCATCATCATTAGCTTAGTCTGACTCTGGTCCTGAATCATCAGCACCTTCAAGAGGGTCGGAGCTGTCTGCACTGACGTTGTTCTCTCCTTCTTCATCGGAGGGGTCACTGGCTGGTGCTGGCAGGGCATCCTCCATCTTATCCAGCTCATGAAAGGCACCTTCATCAGTTCCATAATGGTAGGTGTGAAAACTACCTCTGCTTGATTGGAAGTTGTACTGAGGTTGGTTGGAATGGTCCGGTTGAACTTCTTCATATGACGGGAAAGATTGATGATGACCTTCACCTTGCTCTTGGTACTGAAAATAGGAATGAGGATCATGGTAACTTTGGTAGGGATGATCGCCATATAATTCACCTCCACCATGGATACCAGATGTTTGACCGTGTCCATAATGACCTCCAAGGCCTACGACCAGCTCGGTGTAGACGAACATCTCGGCTTTGGAAAGATTGTTGGACCTCAAGAATTCGAGCATGGCATCTACCTCATCCTGAGTGGTTATGAGATATTCCCCATGCCACAATGACCCACTTTCTCTGTTTGGATATTGGTACACCATACGATCAACTCTTCTCGTGTCATCCATGCAAGTAATGTTAGTGCACATTTGATGGAGGTCTTCAAGCAGCGGTCTGGTAGCGACCTTTATCTTCTGAAAATTGCCACCGACATAGGTGACCCCCTTTCCGGTCTCTTCCGTGTAACCATTCCACCGTAAGCCAAGCGTGAACTTTTGGAATGCCATCTGCGAAAAAACCGTAGTTCAGTTAATATCATAAAAATTAAAAATAAAAAATAACAATAAAAATTAATACAAAATAAACTAACGAGTTAACGTTAATCGCAAAACTACTAAAAAAAAATAGAGCTACAACAGAAAATTGAAAAGGGAGAAGGAGAGGTGTGAAGAGAAGTGGTTTTCCGGGAGGCCTTTTATAGGCAAAATCACTGATGAAAACCGCACCTTAGAGGTGCAGTTTTCGTCTGCCATGGAGGCCCATACAGACCCACGTCTGTTATGTCTGTTATTCTGCAATGCATGTCGGAAATTAATTGACCAAAACCGCACCTTGGGGGTGCGGTTTTGTTGGGAGAAACAAACCGCACCTTCATGGTGCGATTTTGATAGGTCAGGCCAAAACCGCACCTCGGCCAAGCGGTTTCTGTAGGTCAGACCTAAAACCAATTGGCCAAGATGCGGTTTTGGTCCAGGAATATGGACCGCACCTTAGAGGTGCGGTCCATTAAAAAGGGTGCTATTAGTGTAAATTTTTTCGGATGGGTGCTATTTTTTTAAATTTTTTCGGATGGGTGCTATTTCTGGAAAAATCCCAGGAATTAGGCACGTGAC